CACATTTTATCCCATTCTTCTCCTATTACTTCTTTATCCAAATCATATTGCCACTGTGTTTTTAATCCTTGTGTATCCTGTTCGGCCTGAATTAATAATTTATATATTTGACTTAGTTCCCTTTCTCTCTGTCTTTTCTGCTAATTTAAATCTTTTTTCAATAATCTCTTCAAATTTTGTCATTTTTCTACCTCTCCCTTCCTTACTATTTCATTCCTGTGTCCATCTTTCTTTTATATTTCCTTTATCTCTCATCTTCTCCATCCAGTCTTTTATCCTGTTTATCCCTTTATTTTTTAATATATTCTTAAGAGTTTTTAAAAGATTTTCTGGAAAATTCTTTAAATCCACCGCCTGGGATAAAGGCGAGATCGGTGGGCTCAATAAACCTCTAAACTTTTTCCAATTTTCTAACATATTTTAAGGAAAATAATCATTTTAATCACTTCTCCAATTTTTTCTTTAAACAATATAGTCTCAATTCTTTCTTCCTTACCCTTCTTGTTCTTCTTTTTCCTTATCACTGTCAATCAAGTCTCACTCCATCCCTTCCTCTTCATCTGACTCCTGACTTTGTCCTAGGCTTTCCACCGTCTTCATTTGCTCTTCCCACTCTTCTTTTATTAAAAATAATCATTTTAATCACTTCTCCAATTTTTTCTTTAAACAATATAGTCTCAATTCTTTCTTCCTTACCCTTCTTGTTCTTCTTTTTCCTTATCACTGTCAATCAAGTCTCACTCCATCCCTTCCTCTTCATCTGACTCCTGACTTTGTCCTAGGCTTTCCACCGTCTTCATTTGCTCTTCCCACTCTTCTTTTATTAAAATTCCAAAGTCCTTTAAAAGATCCAAAGCCATTGGGACTGATGTAACCTTATGAAATTTTCTATTGTAATGCACCTTTAAAAACACTGGGTAACCCCAACTATATTTGACACTTTTTTTGAAGGATAGAAGTAATAACCCGCATTTGTCTTCTAAATACCATAGTTTCATGACAATAATAATTAAACACTTGGATTGGGTTCCCCTCAAATACCAAATTCCCTGGATTCTCTCTTAAAGTTCCTCTTTTTTCCCTAAGGCTTGAACATCTAATCAGAATATGGCGAGGCTTTCCTCTGCGTCTTGAACCCACTCTATGTATTTTATCCAAATCATAAACAGGCCAGCCTATTTTTGGTGCCGTCTTTTTCAGCCAGGCTAGGGCTAGTTCATTTAAGTCCTCTTTGGAGCCCAAATCCAGAGTTCCTTTCAATCTAATATTATTACGTCATACACAACATAATTGGTAGTGTGGGATGATGGGCATTAGAGTCCAATAACCTCAAGGACTACATATTGCCTGGTTCTGTTCTACAAGCACAACTGGAAGCGCTGTAAAACCTCTGGTGAATTCTTAGGGAAGGAGTCTGTTTCCTCTATAAGTAAATAGCATGGGGTGATTTTCAGAGTGCTCTTACACCTGCCTGTTTCCCTCTGTTGACTTATTCCAGTTCCCAGACATCCGAAGAAAGTGCCATTGAAACTGGTTCCAGCAGTTCTACATTTGTCAAGCGAGAAGATGAGACCATTGACGACATTGATATTATTGATGACATTGGAATGGATTCCTCAGAACTGGTGGAGGACAGCTTCCTGTAACTCTGAAGGATGTAGTAACCATTGTTTGAGCTTATTTGAAGTGAAAGGGGAATCTCCACATATAGCTCATTGACTTTTGATTCTATAAGGAAAACCACTTTAAAACAGACCATAAAGACTGGAAACGCCACGTGTCCCAATACGGAGCATTGGAATCTCACCTGGTTTGTAAATAACAAGACAAGACATTTGGAAACCAGCTTTTAAGTGTATTGGTAGCATCTCAGTATTGCTTGCAGTTTTCCGTAGACATGTGGACAAAGGAAAATGCCATGACTGGTCCGATTTGTGTTTCAAGGGCATTCACAACTCAGATGGATAACATTTCCAACATGGTGAAACATTCCCAATGTTATTTTATAAATACCTGTTTTTACCAGGGTATTTTGTGGAGTCTGCCTTTCTAAAAGAAGACCACTCAAGACTTCTGCATATTTTCTTCATTCAAGTCTCATTATAAGCTGCTGTTGAATGGCAATATGAGAAGATGAAGTACATTTTTAACCACTTTTGAAACTCAAAGGGATTCATACTAGGTAATCTTTTACTTTTTGCAGCTAATGCAAAGAAAAGGGAATGATAATAATTTCCAAATCTTATACAATAGCTTAGTAAAAGAAACGAGACTCTTCATAACCATAGAGGAATAGTTGTTTACCTATTACTACTGTTCTCAGTATTACTACGTATAGTTTATAACTACTCCTTGTCCTTCATTAAAAACACAGTACTTAAAAAGTTTACTAATGAACTAAAGTATTTTAGGACTTAAACATTTAAACAAAAGAGCTATTCTATTGACTGTTAACGATTTTGGTAAATTAAAACTAGTTTAGGAAGTAGGATGAGCTAACATATCCCTAAGGTATCCAGTAGTAATTTTCCATCCTTAGTGGTGTAGCTTTCCTAATACAATGGATTGATATGCTGGTGAAACCTCCTTTGATTCTGCAGAACTCTTTAACTTCTGAAGTCTATTTTCAAACCTTTCTTTGCATTCAGGTTTCTCAAGTTATTGTACAATAGATGTGTCTGGCTAATCAATCATTAGCTAGGCTGCTCTGAGCATTCAGAGAAGGCACTGCACATCTGAAAGTTTGTTTTGGGTTTACATGTGACTAATTGATTTGATGCACCAAATGCTCTTTCTGAAAAAGCTTCTTTCGGGGCCTGCGATTTCCAATTAAGTATGTAGCCATTTTTGCACACATAAAAAGAAAGGTTCTAGTTTAGCATTAACTTTTAAGAGAAGCATAATTGGATCATGATGTCATCACAAAGTGGTCAAGCACCAGTCTTTTACAACCACTCCAATAGGCACTGAATCAGGCGTAAAGGAACTGTAGAAGCCTTTCCATGCATTACACTTTGGGGCAGGGTGGTGGCATATGCACATTTAAAACAAATAATGGGCCACACCTCCTTATTGTGAATGACAGAAGCCTGTCTTTGTAATGTGCAAAATGGCCTGGGGGAACATTGTTTTTTTCTTTGGGGCATTCTCAAACAAGAGTGTGCGATATAAAACCTTCTTTAATTTGCATTCCTTACACAAATATTAGTGTAACTGTGTTAAAATTGTTTTATGATTTAAAGTGCAATGCTATACATGTCTACTCAGTTCAGTAAAACTCATCTCCGGATGTGTACTGCAGCCTTAGGCTGTGATTTTGTCCTGGTGTCTGTGGAAATCATGAACTGGAATCTGTCTATGAAATGTAGGGATTGGGAGATAATGGTGCACAAAAAGGGATACTGTGATCTTATAAATTCAGTACTTAATTTCTATAAAGAGCAATGTCAGAAGGCTAACTTACTTAAAAGTTATGACTCATTGACTCATTCGCTCTGAAAGCCATGTTCCTTAAGCCTAAATATGCATGCAATGAAGTGTAGATGCTCAGTGATGAGGGGAAAGGAACTTGACCCATTCTCAGAGGCTATTTAAAACTATAAATATACCAAGACTGAGACTTGGTACTGGAATCAGATGCTAGATCTGAGGCCTGGCATTAAGTTAGTATTACACAATCTGGCCCCATATGAACTTGTCCAGGATTTCCTGCAAAATTAATGGTCACTCAGTACCAGTAAGAATAGTGAATAGTAGCAATTGTTTTGGGGTGGATGACCAGTTTGAGCAACATGAAATGTTTTATAACTAATTCATAGATGTGCCTATGGTTACAGCAGAGGCTCCATAAATTACTAATATGATTGATAGAGGACTAATGCATAATCATAGCATGTGATGGAGCACTGGCTCTGTTGGTGCTAAGCTTCAGAGTAGTCAATATTACTGGGCACACCAGAACTGTTCATGAGCAACTGAAAGGACTGGAAAAAAAAGTGCAATGCACATCAACATTGGACTGGTAATGATTTGGTGAATAATTACATACACCTTAGTGTCAACCATTGTTTAGTGTCAAGTGATATGTTGCTGGAATGAATTAGTAAAAACTCAGTTTTTTCCACCCTCAAACACAGATCTTCCCAGAGATTTCATTGATTTCCTTGGGAGATAGTTACCGGCAAGCATTCACATTTCTCTCCCCCATTGGAAATGATGGGATCTGAATGTTCTTCATTGTCGCAGGCTTGTGCACAAAGTACATTCTGTGGTAAATAATTCACTGTGATTTTGAACACTAGAACACAATGGCTGAAATCGAGGAGTAACTCACAACCGAAGTAGCCACATTGACTCAGTGGGGATGTAGTTCACCGACTCCTCCATAGGTTCTATTGATTCAATGGGCCTACTCTTGTTGTGACTTTTGGATTTTCGTCGGAGTATGAAACAAGGCGTAGAACTATATAGGCAAAACTAATAAATTCAATGCGATGTTTTGGTTGTTGTGGGTTTTTCGGGCTCTTTGGCTGTGTTCTGAAGGTTGTTTAGAGTGCTGTCCTCTGAAGATGCTGGCCACAGAGATTGGCGAAACGTTAGGAAGAACAACCTTCAGAACACAGCGAAAGAGCCCAAAAAACCCACAACAACCATTAGATCCCGGCCGTGAAAGCCTTCGCGAATATATTCAATGTGATGTGTTCAGTACTGACACTCTATCTGCCAGATCAAGCCCCATTCTTGACAAACCAGCCACTGTAATGGTTGGGGAGGGGCCACAAAGGCCCCCCTCACATGTGTGTTTGTCAGTTGACTCTCCATGCATTACTGCACAAGGTCCAGGTCTTCTGTTTTGCAGACCAGGCGCTAACGAAGACAAAGTGTTCTTCCCTTGTCTCCTCTTCTTGTTGTCTTCATCCTCTACCTATGGTAATCTCAAATATGTGTAGCTTGCTTTTAATGTGCATTGATAATGTTGCTTACATTGCATTGTCCACCTATACCTATGTTTATTTCTGTTCTGCATAGAATGAATGATTATTTCTATTTGCTGCCTCATGCTAGTCCTTCCCAACATATTTTGGCAATGTAACTTTAGCTGGATTGGGACCAAGCTCTAGGCACGGACCAAAGTTAACAGCTGGATTTACAGTCTTATGAAAATGACAGTTCCTGGAACCGCAATGGACTGCATGTTGGAGAAATGTGTGAAGAAAATACTTTAACATAGGAGGTATCTCTTGGGCTAAGACTGCAATCCTATACCAACTTACCTGAAAATAAAACCCATTTAATTCAGTGGTACTTAATTTTCAGTTGACATGGATAGGACTGCACTGTTAGTCTTTCAAAACTAGCTCAGAAACAGAAAAACAAACACCTGGGTGTTAGTACTCTAGTGACAGATCATAATCTTCATTACTTTTTCCCTTTTGTGGCTCAATTTTGAAAAGCCTGCAGAAAACAAACATCCAGTTTTTGTCTGGTCCATATTTGTATAGTGACAATCAAACTTTGCCTGTGAAACATGACTTTCCCATTTTGAAAGGCCAGCTCAATTCCTTAAAATGTGGTCTGCAAATGTACAAAACAGTCCTATGGTATAATGAGGGACATAAGATAAGGTGATGTTATACATCAATATGTATATATGTATTTTTATATCGATTTTGAGGAGTACTGCCAAAACATTTATGACAAGCTGTATCACTGCCTTTGTTTATATTTTTTTTTACTGTGATATACTCCACAGGCACGCTAACTGTTGCACTTTTAAATGTCCAAAATTTATATTTTAGAATAATAAAGAAAAACGCATAAGCATTTCAAGAATGATGGTATTGTGATATGATTAAAAAGAACAAGCTAGAGTGATTGCTCATAGGTACAAAATGTAGTACAAATGCCCCTGTTCTTATTTTTTTGTCTTTAAAAAAACATGTAAATTAAGATCTTTATATTTCAATAAATGTTATATAATTTAAAGATACTGAGGAGGTTTTTACTTTTACTCCAAGCAAGATATTTTATTCCACGCAGCCCTAACACAGGCAGTTCAGTTTGTTTGTTATTTTTGAAAGGTAGTTTCTGACTGATTCCATTTCAAAGACAGTACAGTGGTGCCTCGACTTACAACCATAATCCGTTCCAGAAGATGGACGTAACTCGAAATGGTCGTAAATCAAAGCACCATTTCCCATAGGAATGCACTGGAATGCAATTAATCCGTTCCAGTATTAAAAAAATACCCCAAAAAACAACCCACAGCCAGCCCCATTGGAATGCAATGGGGCTGAAAAACAAACAAAACACACACACACACCCCACAGCCAGCTCCATTAGAAAGCAATGAGGTTGGAAAACAAACAAACAAAAAAAGGATCAAGCCCCATCAGAACGCGATGGGGCTGAAAAGAAAAACACATCAAAACACCAAAAAAACATCACAGCACAGGAAAAACACACCAAAACACCAAAAAAACATCACAGCACAGAAACTCACCTCTTTTGATCGCAACGCGAAGCTCCGGCTGCAAGCCAAAGCAAAATTTTATGGCCAGAGCTGGTCGCATCTCAGAATGGTTGTATAGTCGTTAAGTCGAGGCACAACTGTAGTGTATTATCTCAAAATGGTTGTATAGTTGTTAAGTCGAGGCACAACTGTAGTGTATTAGCTTATGTGCACATCACAACCCACCACTTCCTAGGCATGCTGTCTCATAAGTAAATCTTAGTGAGATTTGTACAGCAGGCAATATTAAATATATATAGAATTGCAACTTCAGAATTTACTAATTTTAAAATGGTGACTCCTGCTTTCAGAATGATTATTCCTAGAGCAGCTGAGAAATCAGAAAATATTACATATGAACAATAAAAAGAGTGACGTAGTCACAAAATAAAATCAATTCAACTCAGGTTTTAAAAGATCTGGGGGAGGGGGAAGGATGGTTTTCTAACAAAGCATAAGAATAAATGTTGAGCAAATCTCTGTGAGGAAAATATTGAAAGCTGCAATGCTGTAGTTAAAGCTGAAGCACCACAATCACCACTGGACATCCCCCCCAAGAAAAAAACCCCACACAAATCTGATCTCAAAGGACACAGAAACTCAAAAACTGTCTCCAGAGATTACCTTTGTGTACAGTAAATACATGTGGATGAAGGCACTTAAGAACTGGTGAGATGTTCCCATCAGCCAAACCCAGCTAGAAGTCCAGCATTTGTATTTGGAACTAATTCCAGTTTCTGACTAGTTCTGAAAAACAGACCCATACATGCAAGTGCCAATCTATTCTGCAAGACATCTTGAACTTCCTGATGATGAAAAGCACATGATATATATAGAGGTCAGTCCACTTCCCTCTGTATTTGCTTGGTGGTGGTTAGGATTTCCCCCCCTCAAGGAAATAGTTTATTGTTAAATGTGAGAGCACTTCGAAGCATGTGTTCTTTGCCTCCTGCACAAAATGAACAGACAGGCTAAATGGGGTGTAGGTGGTGAAACCTAGCTAAATGGACAGAAGAAACTATCTTTCCTTGGAGATGGGGAAAGGAAGTGTTTCCATCATATCTATTACGACTGTACTACTACAGCGAGTAAGGCAACCACAGAACACACAGACTCACCATAAAGCTGTCACCCATTGGGACATGTGGTTACATTTCCACAGTAACTAAACATGCTACACTCTAGACTTTTTCCTTCCAAGCAACTGATAAAATGACCAAAGTATTCTGGAATCCTACTGCTACAAACGCCAGAATTTTCCCTTCCAGGGGCGGGGGGAATTAGCCAGCTTTCCTCAGCCAGCCTGGCGAATGGCTGGGCTAGGTAAGGAATCCACACATGTAGAATAATGGTAATTAGCTCTTCTCTGAGTCAGCCACAAGATGGCAGTATTGTTCAACACTCAATTAAGCTTTAAACACCCTTCTTGCCTCTTCTACATTGCAGGGGATTCGCTGGAAGACAATGGGCCATCTTCAGCTTCAGAGCACAGAGACTGTATTTTCTTTCTTACTGAACAGTATCCCAAGTTGTCTAACATTCTGAAACTATTTTTTTTAAAAATATCATTAGTATGTTTCATATGGTAAAATAGTTCATTTGTTCAAATGGAATGCAACATACCATCCCTAGATTCAATCAGTAGAAAATACTTCATATATTTCAAAGGCACACAGTTTAATTGTAGATTTTCACACAAACACACATTTAGAATTTCTGGATTGGTGCTTCAAACCAGCAATGGGATGGACTAGGGTTAACACAGTGACACTTAATATGAAAAAGAGAGGTAGCACTTGATTCTCTGCACCCCAACTAGCGCGAATATTAACCACAGCATGTCATGTATATACTCTTTTCCATACTTCTGTGTTTCTCTCTCACTGTTTTTACTTGATCTTCTCAAGAGGGCTTGATCACAGAAAACACATCTCACAATGGACGCTCAACTTGGATGGATGATTTCAGCTTTTCTGCTCTCTCTTCTCTTCACCCCCTTCTCAGCCTATCTTCAGTCCCCCTATCTTCAGCCTTCTGCTTTGATCTTTTCTAGCAACAGAGTCTAGTCAGAGCCCTTCATTGGCAATCATGGGCTATTCTCCAGAAGTGGTGGTTCATGTTTTTCTGCCTCCTTCGCCAGCTACCCTGCATCCAACAGCATCATACTTCAGATTCCTCTGTGATCCCCACCAGTTTTTAGGATCTCTACTTAAACATTAGGACCTCATTGCTGATTCTTCTGTGAAAATTATTCCATCTCTTTATGACCGATTCCTCCATTCAACATTTTCTCTTCCAAACAATTATTTTATACTGTAATAAAAATGCCAATATAGGTCACACTATATTGTTGTTAGGATTTCTAGTTCTCAAGCGTTGATCTTGAGACTGAGGTGTAGAGGTCCATTCTCTGAAGCTCTGAAATCTCAGGGACCTGGATGCTGCTGCTGCTAGCAATGTTATTTAGCATCCTCCAGCTAAATCTTTTATTTTATTTATTTAAAATATTTTTACCTCACCTTTCTCCTTAAAAAGGAGCTTACATTATTAAGGATAATTATTAAAGCTAAGAACAGTAAGTATACATTTATTGGTCCATGGTGGGGTTCTCTTAGAATTGTCAGACACCACACTACAATATGGTAGACAAAATCAATACCAAAAACACATTCAAAGCAGTGATGTATAAACAATTCATCAAAAAAACCAACTCAGGCAGCCAGTCACTGAGGGAAAACTTGCCTGAAAAGAAAGCTCTTTGCTTGCATGCAGAAGGACAGCAGAGATGCGGCCGGCTTAGCTTCCTGTGGGAGGGAGTTCCAGAGTCTGGGAGCAGCGACGGAGAGGACCATCCCCCATATCTCCACCCAATGCAAATGTGGTGGGACTGAGAGAAAGGCCTCTCCCGATTATCTTAACACCTGAGCAGGCTCATAAAGGGAGATGTGGTCCTCGAGATAAATTTGGGCACAAGCATTTATGGCTTAAAGGTTAAAACCAGTGCTTTGAATTGTGTCAAGAAATGGATCAGCAGCCACTGGAACTGCTGTAACCG